GGGGTGGGGTGGGGAGGGGAGGGGAGGGGGAAGGAGTTTGTGAGCTGCTCTGATACTCTGATACTGTGTGGAAACTTAAAGAGTTCAGTATATACGTCTTTAAAAGTTTAAGTGTGAAGGAGATATGAGAAGGGTCTGTGAGACTCTAAAGTTATGAAAGAGAGTAAATAATACAAAGAACTTAGCCAGTGTGGTTGCCTATGTGAAAGAGAGATTCCTGTCATGTCACTGTGGAATTTTAGTGTCAAAAAGACTGTGTGTGATACCTTGCCAGTTTATTTACCAGTTCCTTTTTACCAAAACAGTTACAGTTAACCAGCAACTTATTTTTGTTCCTCAATCAATAAATCATATTTTGTTTAAGTTTAACCCAGAATTCAGTTCAATCCTTCCTCAGGGCCACATAGACCTTTGAAGGCTGGGTCACATTACCAGCAGCAGAAACAGAGAAAAGATTTGGAATTTCTGTTAAAAAAAAAAAAAATCCTGGTGGCAGCAGAAACTACCCAGTTTATACACAGAGTATAATTTTAAAGTGAAAACAGTCCCCCCCAAATAAGCAGCGCTCTACACAAGGCCTTGGAAGGTGTAGTGAAATGTTTAGGGCCCTGGTTCGTCAAACAGCTCTGTTATGTATTGGGGTTGAATCATCCCTGATTGAATCACCCCAGAGACTGGCTGAGCTTGAAGGACGAGAACAATAGCCGACCAGGATTCTGAAAGTAACCAATTTAGTAGTAAGGTTATGTAAATAGCCTATCACTGGGAGTGGGGTGTGTTTGGGTGTGGCAATTGCATGCTATTTAACAAAGCTGAGGCTCTGGAGTCTGGTCTTGCTCTTGCTGAAATCACGAAAATGTTGAGCAGATCGCTAGACTCGAGCCTGCTCATCCATGGAATCCACTATTCAACAAGTTCCGTAAACAGAAATCTAAGGTCTCGGCAAAGGGACGGCTGCTTGGTCTGGATGTTCTGGCTTATGGGACAATATTAGAAACACATAAACACCGAGCTGGAAGGGAATCCACAAGGTCATCTAGTCCAACCTCCTGCACAACGCGGGGAATTCACATCTCCCCTCCCCACACTCCCCCAGTGGCCCCAGTTCCGTGCCCGGAGGAAGGCAAAAAAAAATCTCCAGGATCACTCGGCCAATCCGGCCTGGAGGAATCTTCCTTCCTGTCCCTAAAGTGCAAGGAAGGGCCCCGAGAGCCAAACACCGGCTTCTCCTCTACTGCCCTCCCTCTCAGGATGTGCCTCAGTTCACAGTACAGTTAAAGATACCTAGGAGAGGTGAATCATGTGACTGGCTGGCTGGCAAATTCTTTGCCCTTCCCTGCCTTTCTTGTAGCAACAACATACTCAGGTGGGTCACCGCGTTGAAGCAGCAGCAGCACAAAGTCCAGTGGGGGCACCTTTAAGACCAACAAAGTTTAATTCTGGGTACACGCTTTCATGTGCATGCAGACACACATATATTACAGGGCTCTTTTTGTAGAAAAAGCCCAGCAGGAACTCATTAGCATAATAGGCCACACCCAACAACAGGAACTCATTAGCATATTGGGCCACACCCCTGCCAGCACAGCTCATTAGCACATTAGGCCACACCCACATGTTACCAGAAGTGTGGTCATCCAGCCACACCCACCTTTTGCTTCTTATTCTGTTTACCTTGTTTGTTGTCAAAACCCAGGGCCTTTTTTTTGTAGCAGGGACTCCTTTGCATGTTAGGCCACACACCCCAATCCTAATGAGTTCCTGCTGTTGGGCATGGCCTATTATGCTAATGAGCTCCTGCTGGGCGTGGCCAACTTGGGAGCCAGCCGGAACTCCGTTCCTGTGCGTTCCTGTTTATACACAAAATACACACGTGTGTGTGCAATACCCACGCACCTCGCATTGTTCCTCTCCTGGTCAGGCAAGCAGGACGAGGCCGTGACCAACGCTCCCTCTAAGCTGTGGAGTCTTGTGAGCAAATATTCTACTTTGTGAGCTGCTGGCATTAAAGTTGTGAACGAGTGATTTGGATACTGCATAAATTAGGAGCCCTCCTTCCTGAGCTAAGACAAAAATCTGTGAGCTGGAGGCTAAAAATATGTGAGCTAGCTCACACTAACTCAGCTTAGAGGGAACACTGGCCCTGACTGTGTCTCCCTCAAATCCCTCATCCAGACAGCAGAGAAAAGAAACCTGATGCTCTCTGAGCCCGTTCTTCTCCCCGCCTCCCGTCCCTCCCACAGCCCCAGACATGAGTGGCAGGCTTCTGTGCTAAAGGGTGGTGCGTTCCAGGGACGCCTAATTAAACTCACTCTCTCTCTCTCTCTCTCTCTCTCTCTCCCCGTGGGATTTAGGGGCAGCGCTACAGAGAGTTCCTTGGATGAAGGTGGCCGGCTGTCCTTTCGCTCACCTGACCTGTCTCATTTTTGCCCAGGAAGTATGTGGGGCTGTTCTTTTCTGTTTCGGAAAGGAGATGTTGAATCCCTGTCGAGGTCGTGGCAGGCAGAGATCTTTCGCTAGAAGAGAGGAGATGGCTCCCGGCTCCCTTTGACCTTCTTGCAGAGCAGGCCTTCCAGTTCTCTTCCAGGTGGGGCGTCTGACTCCCCTTGACAGAGGAGCAGAGACCACTGGTGATGGAAGACCCGACTTGGGTTGGATTTTCTTGGCCAAGCTCTTCTGCTGCACCGGGCACGCTGTGTTGGTGATCTCAGGAAGTTCTGGGAAGAAGCGTTTTTGCAGAGGCGCCCCACGGCCTGTTGGATGGGAAGATGCCAGACGGGAACAAACCAGCCGGCAACCAAGCACAGAGCGCCGAGCCGGCTGCTGGGTTGCCTCTAGACCCGCTAAGACGGTAAGTCAATGCCTTAGCAGGAGGCTGTAGAATGGGGTTGTCGAACTCATTTGTTATGAGGGCTGGATCTGACGTAAATGAGACCTTGTCGGGCCAGGCCACGCGTGTCATAAAATGTAATGCCAGGAAGCGGAGATATAAACTTTATAAAGGACATAAACACAAAGATTATTTTTTACTTAAAATAAAAACATGCTTCAAACATTAGCTCTGTAAGCTGCAAACCTACTTTTGATTTCTTGACATTCACCACAGAAATCTCATGCTCAGAGTTCTGAGTCTGAGACCCAGGTTAAAACATGAAATGGCTGAGTGATTTAAGAGAGTCTGGCGAAGCAAGCGATGATGCAGCAGCAGCAGCAGAACTGGAAGGAGGAGATGGCCGGTTCCACTGCGGGCCTGATGGAAGCCCCTCCGTGGGCCTGATCTGGCCCCTGGGCCGCATGTTTGACGCCCCAGACATTAATTTGTGTACCGCTAGCAGGGAGACGGCCTTCCCAGATGGCTGGCAGCTTGTCCCCTGCTTTGACAGGCCTGGAAAGAACTTCAGGGATTGTCTCATTGGTCAACTCCCATTTTCTTAACTGCCAGAGACAAAGATCCAGCACATTCCTGGGGCAGACAGTCTGATTTATTGCTGAACCACACTTTGAGGAAGGAAATAAATAAACTGGGGTTTGGGGGTTGGGTTTCAGGAGGGTAGCTGTGTTGGTTTGCCGTAGACGAGTGGGATCCAAGCCCAGCAGTACCTTAAAGACCACCAAGACTACCAGGGTAGAAGCTTTCGAGAGTCAAACCTCCCTTCCTCAGATACAAGTCGGGGTGGAGATCTTGAGGCTCTTATACGCCACGCTCCAAACGACTGGATTTCTCCCCTGCTCCAGTCGAGTGGATTACATTTGTGTCCTGATGCCCTTATTTATTTATTTTGTTTGTTTGTTTGTTTTATTGAATTTATGAATCACCCACCCTGCAGAGCAGGCTGTGGGCAATTTACAGCACCTAACCCCCTGCACTCTGCAGGAGCACAGCCGAAAGATAGCCCTACATACCTGCAACATATCCGAAAGAGGGCTGTCCAGCCTCCGCTTGAAAACGTCCAGCGAAGGAGCCTCCACCACCTCCCGAGGCAGTCTGTTCCACTGCTCAACCACTCTTACAGTTAAAACCAATCAAGATGGCGATAACTGATCTTCCATCGCTGGCCGTGCTGCTGCCCAGCATGGCAGGAGCAGGGCAGGGTATGTGAGGGCCATAGAAGAAAAAAAGAGAGAAGGTGCCAGTCTTAACTTCCCACTGCTGCCCTCAACTAGAAGCCTGGCGGAACATCTCTGCCCTGTGGAATTTGTTGTTGCTTGGCAGAGAGTTTCAGCAGGTTGGGGCCAGGACAAGAAGGCCCTGGCCCTAGTTGAGGACAGCCGGAGCTCCCTAGGGCCAGGGATCATATAAAAAAGGCCAACACTATGCTTGGGATTATTAGGAAGGGTATTGAAAACAAATCAGCCAGTATCATGATGCTCCTGTATAAATCAATGGTGAGACCTCATTTGGAATACTGTGTGCAGTTCTGGTCACCACACCTCAAAAAGGATATTATAGCATTGGAGAAAGTGCAGAAAAGGGCAACTCGAATGATAAAAGGGTTGGAACACTTTCCCTATGGGGAAAGGTTAAGGTGCTTAGGGCCCTTCAGCTTGGAGAAACAATGACTGAGGGGTGACATGATTGAGGTTTATAAGATTATGCATGGGAAAGAGCAGGTAGAGAAAGAGGTACTTTTCTCCCTTTCTCACAATACAAGAACTCGTGGGCACTCCATGAAACTGCAGAGCGGTCGGGTTAGAACGGATAAAAGGAAGTACTTCTTCACCCAAAGAGTGATTAACACATGGAATTCACTGCCACAGGAAGTGGTGGCGGCTACAGGCATGGACGGCTTCAAAAGGGAATTAGATAAGCATATGGAGCAGAGGTCCATGAGTGGCTATTAGCCACAAGGTATAGATAAGGGCTCTGGGGCAAGGGATGCTCTGTCTTCTTGGTGCTTGGGGGGGGTCAACAGTGGGAGGGCTTCTAATGTCCTGGCCCCACTGGTGGACCTCCTGATGGCACCTGGTATTTTTGACCACTGTGTGACACAGAGTGTTGGACTGGATGGTCCATTGGCCTGATCCAACATTGGCGTCTTTTATTTTCTTATGTTAAGAGCAGAGGTCCATCAGTGGGTATTAGCAACAAGGTATAGATAGGGGCTCTGGGGCAAGTGATGCTCTGTGTTCTTGGTGCTTTGGGGGGGTCAACAGTGGGAGGGCTTCTAATGTCCTGGCCCCACTGGTGGACCTCCTGATGGCACCTGGTACCTTTGGCCCCTGTGTGACACAGAGTATTGGACTGGATGGGCCTTTGGCCTGATCCAACACTGGCTTCTCTGATGTTCTTATGGATCACCAGAAGGTTGTTATCAGCTGATCTCAGCATTGGAGAAGACAGTCCCGAAGGTACATGGGTCCCTGACCGCTCAAGTCCTTGAAAGTCAACACTAACCCCTTAAACCCGACTCGGTATTCCACCGGTAACCAGAGCGGCTGACGCAGCATAGATTGTTTGTAACACCCCTCCCAGCTACTGATTGGGAGACAAGAACTCAGGGATCTCGATTTCTGCCTGCATCGGAGAAAGAGAACTTTGATTTGTGATAACGTATGTTCTAGGAATCTTGTTGGTCTCCAAGGTGATCCTGGGCTCGAATTCTGCTTTGCTATGTCAGTGGTTCTCAGACTATGTTCAGGGCCCAAAAGCAGGTCATAATTCTCTTGCAGGGGAGTGGTGAATCCAGGAGGGAGGAGGTGGAAGAGGGGGAGCAGAGAGAAGAGGCTCAGCGGGCTTGGTGGGAAGTTGGGGGAGCCAGTCTGGTGTCGTGGCTAAGTGGCGCAAACTCTAATCTGGGAGAACCGGGTTTGATTCCCCACTCCTCCACTTGCACCTGCTGGATGACCTTGGGCAAGCCACAGTTCTGTCAGAGCTCTCTCAGCCCCACCTGCCTCCCAGGGTGTCTGTTGTGGGGAGGGGAAGGGAAAGGAGTTCGTCAGCCGCTCTGAGACTCCTTTGGGTAGTGAAGGGCGGGGTATAAATCCAATCTCTTCTTCCTCCTCCTCCACTGGCACCTGGCTGGATGACCTTGGGCAAGGCTTAGCTCTGATAAGAGCTGTCCTTGAAAAAGAGCTGTTTCTGTCAGAGCTCTCTCAGCCCCACCTACCTCACAGGGAGGGGAAGGGAAAGGAGTTCGTCAGCCGCTCTGAGACTCCTTTGGGTAGTGAAAGGCGGGGTATAAATCCAATCTCTTCTTCCTCCTCCTCCACTGGCACCTGGCTGGATGACCTTGGGCAAGACTTAGCTCTGATAAGAGCTGTCCTTGAAAAAGAGCTGTTTCTCTCAGAGCTCTCTCAGCCCCACCTACCTCACAGGGAGGGGAAGGGAAAGGTGTTTGTAAGCCGCTCTGAGACTCCCTTGGGTATTGAAGGGCGAGGTATAAATCCAATCTCCTCCTCCTCCTCCTCTCCTTCTCCTTCTCCTTCTCCTTCTCCTTCTCCTCCTCCTCTCTGTGGTGTATGAAATGGCCCTGCAAATAAGCCCTTGCACAGTAATGCAATGTTTATATGGACTAAAAAACAAGAAATTAAATATCAAACCTGTTTAGTGTAAAATGAGCTGAAATGCTTACATTTTATATAGGGGAGGGGGGGTGCAACGTGGAGCTACTTTGCAACTGAATCCCGAAAACAACCGTGAGTTGAGAAGAGAGTCCCACTGGAGAAAGTTTGAGCCCTGCAGAGATCCGGAAACAGGGCTGTGACAGTCGGGGTCTTGAATTCAGGGACAGGGCAGAGTTTCAGAGGGTTTGTTGACAAGCTGTCACATGCCGGGAAGAGCTAAGGAGGAGGATCAAGGGTCTCAAGCAGTGTTCCCTCTAAGCTGAGTTAGTGTGAGATAGCTCACAGTTTTTTAGCCTCTGGCTCACACAGTTTTGTCATAGCTCAGGAAGGATGAGGCTCCAGAGCAAACTAATTGATGCAGCAGCCAAATCGTTCGCTGACAACTTTAATGCTGGTAGCTCACAAAGTAGAACTTTTGCTCACAGGACTTCACAGCTTAGAGGGAACATTAGTCTCAAGGGGCGTGTGTGTTGTATGTGTGTTAAGTGCCCTGTGATTTATGGCAGCCCTATGAATTTAATAACCTCCCAAAGATCCTTTTATTAACCGCCCCACTCAGGTCTTGCAGACTGAGGGCCATGGCTTCCTCCATGGAGCCAATCCATCTCACCTTGGGTGTTGTGTCCGCTGACCGCCACGAGAGGCCAGCGAATACCCCAGAGCTTGACTCTGGAAGAACAATGGGGACAAGGCTCCTGGTCTCTCCACCGAGGGACCAATGGGACGTTGGCGGTAGATTCAAACCCACCAACGGGACCTAGGGGGTGTCCCCATATGTGTATATAGTTGGCCCACGGGCCATTTCCCTTTGTCTTTGTTGTGTGCCAGTGAAGCGTGCAGGATGTTATGTGTGCCGCAGCGGCCTAGCCATGCGCTCAACCCACTACACAATATTGGGTCTTCCTCTTTTGGTGTTGAGAGCCAGTTTGGTGTAGCGGTTAAGTGTGCAGACTCTAATCTGGGAGACCCGGGTTTGATTCCCCACTCCTCCACTTGCACCTGCTGGATGACCTTGAGCAAGCCATAGTCCTGGTCAAAGCTGTCCTTGAAAAAGAGCTGTTTCTGTCAGAGCTCTCTCAGCCCCACCTACCTCCCAGGGTGTCTGTTGTGCGTGGGGGGGACGAGATAGGAGTATGTAAGCCGCTCTGAGACTCCGAGTGATGGGCGGGGTATAAATCCAGTCTTCTTCTTCTTCTTCTTCTTCTTCGTCTTCGTCTTCTTCTTCTTCTTCTTCTCCTTCTTCTTCTTCTTCTTCTTCTTCGTCTTCGTCTTCTTCTTCTTCTTCTT